CTCTGCCTTTGTTCTCCCCCCCCCCCCCATGGTACGAACAACATTTTGCTTCAGTCATTCATCAGCTGAACACAGACCCGCTCAGCTCAGGGAGAGATGCTCAATCTAGAATTAAGCTTCCAATTTGGCTCATAAATGAAGACACACACACCCCCCAGAGCCTGGAGGCATTTGGGGTCCTGCTAAACTACCAGCAGTCAGAAATTAGGGAAGGTCAGTCTAATCTCTCCCTGGCGCACGGTTGCTTTAGCACTGCTGTCCCCAGACCTTGACAAAAACTGAGCAAAGGAGATCCTGGTTAAGACCTGGATGGAAGCCAACCTAGAAAGTAGCAGTTGCAAAGTATTGTACTCCAAAACTTCCCGTGCCCCCTTTCATTAAGACCCCAGGAGCCAAGCTAATTTTATTTTAGCTCCAGGAATGGACTGAAATGCTTCTGATCTGCAGCTGGACAGATGAAAATGAATACAGTTGAAATGTAATACATCTAAAGGGCACGCAGCTGAGCGAGTTAACCTTGGTGGGCTCCGATCTGCTTCCTTTCTTATTCAAATCCTGGCAGCTGCATTCACACGTGCTAAAACGTAGCTAAGGTCAGCCTCTTCTGTGATTTAGCAGAATCCAGTTTGTTGGGCTAGCCTATGATTCAGGGTGTGGAGGGAGAAGCAGAAATAGATCTATCCTTACCTTCTTGGCTGCCGTAGGTTTTGCCAAACTTAACCATAAAATCCTGGAACATCTGAGTCAACTGGGTCTGGGTCAAAAGCAAAAGATAAGGAGAGAGTTACCCCCCTTCAGAATAAGAACATTGTGGGAACAAACCTCCCTTTGCACCCAAATTTTTTTTTTTTCTACAAATGTAACGCTGCCCGTGGCTGGTACCTCCATGTTAATCTTGTTCCTATCTTTTATTTTTATGGAGAATGAATGTCCTACCACAGTGCCAAAACCCGCTTTGCAATTTCTCCAACATTTCCTTCCTTGGCAAAAAAGGCTTCTGCTTTTCTACTTTATTCTCAGGCTGCTTGAGAATTTCTTTTAGCTTTCTCTTGAAGGTGTTTCTGGAGCTGGCTTTATCACTGGAGGCAGACTTTGGATAGATCTTCCCATCACTGTACAGACTTTTTAGCAGCCTACTTTTTCCAATCGGAAAAAAACCCATTCCTCTGGATGGTCTAGTTGGAAAGCTGGGGAGAAGTTAGATCCCTTGACTGAAAAGCTGTCAAACACATCTCTTGATCAAAGAGGGGCTTTCTGCCTAGCGCAATTACGTAGAGCCGTTCTTAAAAGCCAAGTTGTAAGGGTGAACAGAGAGGGAAAAAAAGGAATTTAGAGCAATTTTACTTGCTTCTTTTGACCCCCCCCCGCCTCCCCTTCCCCTCTGGGGATCTCCTCACCATGTTCAGATCTGGAGGAAGGGTAGAGTTGGCAGAAGGGACAGAGATCCATGTCCCCCAGAGCATCCAGCAAGCAGCGAGGTTGGCCAGCCACATTGCGGGTGCGCCCTGTTGCAGCTGGGTTGGGAGTGAAAGTATCGACAAAGGATGGAAAGAAAAATGATGTTTGGGGGGGCGGGGAGAGGGTTCTAGTTAAAGGGGAAACCACAGTGACAGGAAGGCGAGGTGTGAATTCGTTCCTTGCCATCAAGAAGATTCAAAAGCCTGCAACCCGCTTTTATATATTTTTTAAAGTTCTTGGAACTTTCCAGCCATCGCTAAATACATCGAACTTCTCTTAAGAAACCCTCCTCTGCCGTGATGGTCTTCCAAGCCTGTCTCGGTCCCCCTCCTCCCGATTCACACGTTGAATCGAAACCATGGTTTGCCGCATCATGCTTTCTAGGGTTAGACCCGTACGTTGGGCTCGCTCAAGCCACCGGTTCAAAAACCATGATGGCGAGTGGGTTTGCAATGATGCACAAACTGGATTAAGGCTGGTTTAGAAATGTCACCTCTATTTTTTTAAAGAGGCTACACAGGGTAAAATAAGAAACAGTCACGGGTTGGGGGTGAGCTAAACCACGCAGTTGTGTTCAAGCCACATGTTGACCCCACTCAGTGACTGACCCGGCACATGCCACGCTAAACTTGGTTACCTCTCTCGTTGATTAATTTTGCTTTCCATTGGGACAAGTCAGAAAAGCCACTCCTTCCATCATCAAGTTAGGCCATATAATCCGATAGACAGATTTAAATTCTTAATATTGATGGTTTGGGACCCTTTTTCCTGCCACTGCAGTTCAGGCCCCGCAAGGAAGTCAATACCCAAGAGCAGTGTTTCTCAACCTTGGGAACTTTAAGAGAAGTGGACTTCAACTCCCAGAATTCCCCAGCCAGCATGGGAGTTGAAGTCCACTCCTCTTAAAGTTGCCAAGGTTGAGAAACACTGGCCCAGAGCAATGCCATCCAGGGTTGCAGTTTCCTGCTTGAGACATCTTCATTCTACCATGGCTGACCTTGAGAAGGACCAGGCTGGGATGAGGCTGGGCTGGACAAGGTCAAAGAGGCAACCGATTAATTGCCACATGGAGGCTGATACCCAGAGGGAGAAATTATCTTCAAATAATTTAGGACCTCTTTCTCCACCCCCAGCATTAGCTGAGGAATGTGGTATCCCCGACCATCAGGAGAAGCTCATCCATTGTTCCTTTGATAGGACTCATCCCTCAAGCAAAATCCTAGTTGGCTTTGTCCTAGTTTATTGGCTACATCAGTGTTTCTCGACATCAGCAACTTTAAGATGGGTGGACTTCAACTCCCGGAACTCCCCAGCCAGCATGCTGGGAGTTGGTCCACCCCTCTTAAAGTATGCTGGCCAGGGAATTCTGGGAGTTGACGTCCACCCATCTTAAAGTTGCGGAGATGGAGAAACACTGGCCTAAATCACCATTGGCTGGGTTGGCACCACGTGCTAAATCATAGTTTTTCGGCCACAGTGGAAAACCCAACCTGTAGGCCAGCCAACCGAGCCAGCAACCATGGTTTATGAACTGCCTTAGCTCTTCCCAACAAAGCAGAACTCGCCATTGGCCAGCCCCACGGGCTGGAGGCACAGAGCGCGTCAAGCCGGAGCTAACCAAACCTCAATGCGGATTCAGTGCAAAGCGCAAACTCGGCTGTATCGTGGCCTTCCCTGGATTCATTTCATCAGATCCGCGAAGCGTTATTCTGAAAAAAAATAGGGAAAGAATCTGATGCAGTAGCAGAGAGCTGTGTTCATCTCCGTCAGCCCCAAATCCGGACTAACTTTTCCAGTGAATACATTTTATTACGCGGCAGAAGCTGTCATGACCTGCAGCTCCCTTCATCCGACACATCAAGAATTTCCCTTCGTCCGTGTCAGGAAAATAAACCCACGTGCCTTTTAAAATGGGGTTTATATCCAGGAGACTGGAAGCTGCTTTCAGCACCCTGTGGGAGTCGACCAGTGCCCCCAGTGCCAGTTGCTCAAGCATCACGTTTGAAGGCTCAAAAATCTGAACCAGCTAACAAGCTTCCCCCGGATGGCCCATGAAATTGCTGGGTCCCCCAATGTTGGGTTTGAGCTCCAACCTAGCCTAATTCTTTTCCTGCCCCTTGCCCATGGCATCCTTACAACAACCTGGCCTGGTAGATTCTGCAGCGCCAGGCTCACGTTCCTGAACAGATTTCACAGTCAGTGGGGGGGTTTGCCCACCCCCCATGTCCTGGCAGGACCGAGCCAAGGCTCTAACGCCCCCCCCCCATCGTCTTGACTCCAACATGCCTGGGTGCTTCCCAAAATATCAAGGGCCAGAGAATTGCAAAGCAAGCCACCAAGCCCGCTATCCAAATCAGGATTTGGAGTTTATCTTCAAAGGGGACGAGCATCCCCCCCACCTCGGTGGTAGCTCACCGATGCTCCCTCCTCGTTCAGGACTTTGATGTGAAGACCTTGGAAGCAGGTGGCAAAAAGTCTGTTTGCGAACGGCTAATCTCCTGGCAGATTCCAGACTTGGGGTGAGTGCACCGCCCGGCTTTCCCGCGCGTCCCTCCCGGCTAACCTGGGGGGCTATTTATAGCTCAGAGACAAGAGGTCTCTGTTGGGAGGAATGTCTAGTTTGCAGGTGGGCAGGGGGGAGGAGGAGGAGGGGGAGAGACAGACTTCTTCTCTTCACCACGGTTCCTCTCTCAACCACCTCCACCATCAATCACCCCCAGCCGCCGGTTCTCTCCGGCTGCCCAAAGCCTCAGTCCTTTTGGGGCCACGGGGATGGAGGATAATGAGAGTCATGCAGGTAGTCCTCGACTTATGTCCATTCAGAGTTACGGCGGTGCTGAAAAAATGGACGTATGACCGGTCCCCGACGTTCCAGCCATCGCAGCATCCCGCAGGCACATGATTGCCATTTGCAACCTTCCCCACCGGCTTCCCACAAGCAAAGTCAACAGGGCAGCCAGCAGGGAGGTCCCAAGTCACTCTGCTAAGTTGCTTCTGCCCGCAGCACCCCCTCACCTGCCCGCAGCCTCTGCTGGCCCTCCCAGGCCCTCCCCAGCCTCCCCCACCCTCCTGCAGTACCCCTGCGCCGCTTACCTGGGACTCCTGCTTCCTCCTGCTTAACAACCTGCGCATCTTGGGGTTAGGACAGCAACTGGGTTTGCCGTCACTAAGCGATGTGGTCACTAAGCAATTCTGGTCCCAACTGCTGTCATAACCAGAGGACTACCTGTGTTCTAACGCAGTTCAGAACTAGAAGCCTAATTGATCAATCTACTTTCCTTCTTCCCTTCTTTCTCACTCCCTCTTCCTTTCTCCCTCCCACCTCTTTCCTTCTTTCCTTCCTTTGCTTTGGAAACCACAGTCCTAATTTCTCAGGCAGTTCCACTGGGTTTCAGGATGAGTCTCCCCATGGAGTCTGTTAATTAATCTTATAGGCTGCTCTTATTTTTATTCTCATCGTCATCTCTTTCACGGCTAGTTTGGTGTCCTCTTTCTGATGAAGCTCTCAAGTACTCTTCCCTTAGCTCTTGCCCTCAGTCATCAGCACAAGGGTATGCCCTACAGCACCCCAAATATGTGGGGTGCTGGATGTTAATATCCTCCTGCAGGGGTGAATTCCACCAGGGAACATTTCTCCACAAGCAAACTAGGTGCGAAAGGTAAAAAGTCTCCTTTGAGTTTAAAATGACTCAGACCCTTCTTAGACACTGCCATTCTTGGAGGCAATAAAGAAAATATTCTTTGCCTTTTCTGGGACGTTCGTGCCCTTTCTCAGCCTTGCCATCAGCAGTCGGATTTCCTGGTCGTCTCCCATCCAGTCACTACACAGACCCAACCCTCCTTAGCTTGTCAAGATCAAGCCACAGCCGTCTAAGTGCTGACGCTTCTACCAGTATTCCTCTTGGATCATATCAACATTAAAAAAGCTAAGATCATGGCATCTGGACCCATCAATTC